CAGAAAAAAAATGAATATTTGTTGTTGTTGCTGTAGTTAAATAAAATATAACATTGTTTAAAAGACCATGAAGAGCAGTTGGCAAAGATATTTTATATACTAATCCATTATTTTCTGTCATATAAGTGGTTAGCCATAATGGAGACCCTGCACATCTTGAAGAAAAGGCTCATACCTTGTAGCATGTGCAAAACACTGTTAATATAATAATGTTCTCATAGCCAGGAAGCAAACTTCACATAAAAAAACTCTTGCAAAGTAATAGTATTTATCTTTATATAATGTATTAAAATTGCATTATGAGACTGTGTTGCAGTTCAAATGCGGATGCACATACTCAGTGCAGATTCTTCCAAACAACATCAACTGTGTGAGGAAAATGGACTTTGGGAAACTGATGATTATAAGATGCTGCTGATTTTCAAAAAATGGTAAAGTTGTCAGTAATGTAATTATACTGTGACCCTATTAACAATTAAATGTTTTTAACTGATGGAGTAAATGCTACTGAAAAGTTATTTGATTTACACTAGAGACTGAAAAAAAAACTGGCTTTACGATTGATCAAATTAAGTAAAAAGGATAAGTGCAATCTGAAGGTATGCTCTTAAAATTCTGAATAAATGTTCCTTTGAACATATACTGTAGATATATGGTGTTAAACACATTACCAAATGTGATTGTGTGTTACTTTAATTACATGTTAATGCATGACACACCAAAATGCTGAAGCCTTTATAGTAAATGTGACACATCTCTTCTGAGCTACTACAGTATCTGGTTTATGTGTCAGCAGTCCCATGTGAGAGCTCATACTGGCTGTAGAGTGAAGACTGATTGATTGATGTAGAAAACCTAGGAAGCTTAGTCAAGTTACAGTACAGCTGAATATAATGTTTTAAACTGCTGACAGATACACGAGTATATTTCCTGTACGTTAATGTGCAAAGGGAATAAAACTGTAGGGTTTAAAGATGGTACCTTCTTGGTTCTGGGAGAGATAGCATTTCTGTTATGTTTTAATAAAACAGAAGCATAGATGACACATGAAACCAAGAAAATTTCCTACACACATGCCATAAAAGATATGATAATGTAATGTAAACTTGCATTATAACATTATTATATGTGTTTTTAGTATATACACCAACTTAAGTTTGCTAATGTGATAACTAACAACATACGGTATGGTATGGCTGGACCAGGAATGCTGGTCAGGTCATACCTCCTTGAGCAGAGGTCATTGACCCTCCCTAATGCTCATGTGGCCTCAGATGATTTTAATACCAGATTTTTCTATTTATTTATTTAATTTCTTTTCCATTGAAGGAATGGTAAATAATGCGTTAACGCTAATATAAAACGACTAAGGGGAACCGTGCAATTATCTGAAAGGGCAGAGTAGTGGATTGTTTATTCTAGCAACAAGAACGTCTCCTGTCACGTGACTTCCTGACGTACCGTCTTCCACTCTCATCAGCTGCGTTGATGTAGGGGGCTTTCCATCATGGCGTCGATGCAGGTAGGAATATATTTAACAGCGCTTACATGTTTATAATTTACCTGGCCTTTAGTCTTGTCTTTCGTGGTAGTTTATTCGACACTTTATTTACGTAATGTATTTTCTTCAAGTAGTGATGACATTAAAGTTAAAGTGATTGGATTTAGCGCTTGGTCTTGGTAGCAACACAACTAGCCCATCTTCATCAACAAGACCAAGTCAAGGCTAACGTATATTGATATATTCCACTATATCCCACTGCATTGTTGATTGGCTATTAATTTTTTTCGCAGTAATAATGGATCATAGTTCAAGGGGTATAGTGGTATAAGTTGAAAATTGTGTTGTTTTAAGTCAGCGCTGGCTGACGGTGATGTTAGCTAACTAACGAGGCGATGCGCTCATTGACCTGGTCAGTTTCCTTTTGGATTGAACAGGTGAATCGCTTTCATAACCTGCGTCGACTCGAGATTCACCACATCTAAAGTCAACTTCATGAATTGGTTAATCTACTGGCAAGCACGTTGTTTCAGCGGTCAGAAATCGTTTTAATCTTGTAGCTACAAGGTAAACGACTCGTATTAGCTTTTTGAAACTTTGGCATTAGCTCACATTACAGGACGTTAGTTATAATTGTTCCGTCAGTAGCTACATGATATGTATCACCTTATCAGTGATATTTTACAGTGGTTTGGATATCTTTTAATAAATTAAAGGAAAAGGTAATATTTTCTATGTGCCTAATTTTTTTTTCATTTGCCTCTATAATTTATATATTATGGTTTGTATATTGTCATGATATTACAGTGTGTTTCAAAACGCACATTCTCTCCAACAGAAAAGGCTACAAAAGGAATTATTAGCCCTGCAAAATGATCCACCCCCAGGAATGACGCTCAATGAAAAAAGTGTACAGAATACCATTACACAGTAGGTGCTTTTTGTTTTTAATTATTTTATGTGATGCATGTGTTATGGCTTGTTGCTATTTTCAGACACAGTAAACATCAGGACACTGTCACACCTTCAGGAGTCACTGAAGACGGCTTGCATCAGTGAATATACACAATAGGTCAGTTTCGTCACTCTGTGGCTGTGCAGTGTGGTGAGCATGCTGGGTACAACACAGCAGTGGTAGGAGGTATTAAGACAATGTTTTTGTAGCCTCTCGGTGACTGGTGAGGAAGAATGGAGGTCATGCCAGTGACTGGCAGCTCTGGCCCCTCAGTAGAGAGTCTCTAATACGCAGTGTCACTATACATCCTTATAAAATATTTATCAGTCGGCATGCAGGAGTTAGGCTTGGGTAGCAAGGAAATAAGGGCTGCTTATCTGGCCTACCCATCAGTTCTGGTATTTGTGTGTTCGAGTCAGATTGTTTGTCATGGGCAGTGAGGATGAGTGTGTCATGTTGTCTTATAAGAAAACAGATACAGATTTCCCAGTGCTTGTGGTTAATTTAAAAACATCTTGTAACAAGGATTCAAGTAGGCTTAGTAGATAGCAATTGCTTGTCGGAAAGAATGACTGTTGGTTTTGCTTTACACAAAAGTGTCCCAACCAGTTCTGCTGGCTTTTAGGTTCACTGTGCATCTAAGGTTTGAAATGGTTTGTGTGGGTGTGTCATTTTTGTCTCAACTCTGTTGTCTAAAGGTCTGTTCTGTCACTATGATTGACAGTCATTGGGATATACAGTATTATTGAGTATGACATGCAGTACGCAGTCTGTTCAAGATAACCGTATTCCCCCCACCCCTGAAAAAAAATGGCTGGTGCTATTCTTATGACAGTTACATGACCATGATTAGTTTTATAGCCATTGTACACTCTGTCAATAGGTGCTACTCATTTGTTTGCTTTGACGTTTAGTTGTCTGTGTGTGATGTACAGATGGCTTGGATTCATGACATAATGAGTACTGCATACAAGGGAACTGCTGTTTTAAATCACTGTTGAGTGCCTCATATGTATGCAGTTTGTCTTTTCCCCCCTGTTTTCAATAAGTGATTGTGTTGTTTGCTGTCCAGGTCCTATTATCACCAGGCTGTGGGGAATTTGAGCAACTTGAACATAATGACTTTAGAGTCCTTGCCTGTGTTCCACATGGGTTGTGTAACTCAGCATCATGTACAGCCATAATGCCTCCCTCCAGTATTTACTTTATGATTTAAAAACTGTTTGTTTTAGATATGCTGGCCATTGGACATTTTGTTTTTGAAGTTTTAAGGAAGACTTGCGTAGTATCCCTAAATGTTTGTTTGGGGTAGATTTGGACTGCAAACCCGAACGATAGCCACAAATCTTCCCGGTGTCCTATCTTCACTGCTTGCCTGGAAGAAATTAGGTCAGAGGTTGTGATGCTACCATTAGTGTTCTTTTTTTCTTCTCCTCTGATGTTACAGTTGTGAGCAGGCGATGCCCATAAATGTTCTGCTCTGAATTGTATTTGGCTTGTTTGCCATTTTGCTACAGCTAGCCATATGGGTTGTAGCCATATTGAGAAAGTAAACTGTCCTCTATCCCAAGGCACAGTCAAAGTCAGTCAAAGTCAGAGTGTTTATTTGTCATATGCACAGTTAGAAAACGTGTCTCCCTGTACAATGAAATTCTTACTTTGCCATCTACATGAATGCTACAAAATACAAATGAAATATAATGTAGATAAATAAGTAACACTAAATCTAAGGCACTTTAAGCAGCAAATGCAGCAATATAATAAAAATATATAAGAATATAATA